TTGTCAAGTGCTTTAAATGCAGCTTGTCTGTCAGATAGAATGATGTTCCTATTTCTGTAGTTCCTATCTAGATTCTCCATAATACATGCCTTAATGGCATATACTTCTGCCTGGAATACTGTCATGTACTGCCCAAGGCTGTAACTAAGTTTCCACCTCATGCCATAGCAGAACACACCAGCTCCAGTGCCCTTATTTATCTTGGAACCATCTGTATACCAGATCAGTCCCCCTTTTCTGTAGGGCTGAAACCCATCTTCCCATTCACTCCTGTCAGGAAATCTGACTGTGAATGGTTTTTCCATATACATGTCTCAGTATCATCTTGTCAATAGCACAATAGACCACTGTAGGTCATGGTGCAAGGGCCGAGAAGGCCTACCCCTCATACATTCATTCATTCATCATTTTGTCAGACCCCATTTGTAATATGGGTTCTTTTTTCATGTCCTGACTTATGTATGCATATTCGAAACTATCGGATTTAGGTTTCCATTGATCACTGCACTGGAGACGGTAGATTCCTGCCCTGGCCGCTGCCTCCAACTGTATATGCAGTGGGGGGAGTCCATGGAGTATCTCCAGTGCAGCTGTTGGAGATGTTTGAATTGCTCCTGTGATACCCAAGCAAGCCCATCTTTGCAATTTGCTAAGTTCTGCCTTGCTTGTCATGAGTTTAAATCTGAGCCACTATACTGTGGCGCTGTATATAATTATGGGTCTTAGAATCACAGTGTATATCCAATGCACAATGTGCGGCTGCAGTCCCCACATTTTACCAAACATGCTTCTGCATGGCCAGAAAGCCTTATAGGCTTTATTGATGACCTTATCCAACTGCTTTGTCAATGTCAGTCCATTGTCTAATACTAGACCAAGGTACTTGACATTGCTGGAGAGCTGGATCATCTTATGGAAGAGGGTCAGTTCCTTAAGGTCCTTTATATTTCTCTTTGTGGTAAACGGTATAATTACCGTCTTATTGGGATTGATGGAAAGGCTGCTTCTTTCACACTGTCGTTGGACTGTGTAAAGAGCTGTTTGAAGACACTCTGATACTGTTGAAAGGAATTTTCCGTTTATGAGGATTGCTGTGTTATCAGCATATCCTACTGTATAATACACATCATCATTAAGTCCCCACAGGAGATTGTCAATGACCAGGCTCCACAGCAGAGGTGATTCTTTTGTACTTGATCAGATAGGCTGTTGCTGTTGCTTATGCTTGTCCCTAACCAACTAAATCCATGGAGCAGAGTCCATCTTGAGAAACCTACAGTTGTTTCACTGGCCAAGAAGTACCCTACCTTATATGGAACATGCAGGCTCATTACTGTGTTTGCAAGAGTTTGCCAGTGATCCCTGTCCTGAGCCAGATGAATCCATCCTCATCATCCACACCCTTGTATCATACTTCATAGGAGGGTTGGAACTTTAATAGTGGCAACTATTTATTTACAACTGATACAAAATAAATGCATGTTTTGAAGTTTTACTGTCCTTCAGTGTGGTCACCAGCATTGTGTACAACCCGTTGCCAGTGATGTGGAAGTTGTAGGATACCTTTAGCAGTGCCTGTTGTGTTGATAGTTGAATGGAGCAGTCTCCTGCCTGAAGAATCTCTGGAACAGTTCTGAAGTGAATACCACGAAGTGGCTCCTTCATCTTAGGAATCAAGTCAAAGTCACAAGGGCTTAAGTCCGGAGAGTATGGTGGATGGTACAGCACTTTCCAGCCCCATGGATTGAACAAACCAGCTTGTGCTGCATGCAGCCAAGCATTGTCCTACAAAATGATGTGTGTGTTCTGCAGAAAGTGTTGCTGCTTCTTTCTCAAAGCTGTTCGCAGGTTGTGTTCCAAAAATGAACAGTAATACTGCGCATTGACAGTCTGCTGTCAGGGAACGGTATGCGTTAGGATAACACCATCACAGTCTTACACGAGAATCACCATAACTTTCACATTGCTGGGGTTCTGACGAACTTTTGATTTTTGTGGTGACCCATAATGACGCCATTCGTTCGATTGGCGTTTCATTTGTGGTTCGTACGATTTGGCCCATGTCTCATCCAGCGTAATGGTACGGCATAAGAAAGCCTCTCCTTTGCGCTCATAGCACTCCAAGTGGTTATGAGCAGTGTCGTATCATAGCCATTTCTGCATTTCCATCAAATCATGTGGAGCCCATTGTGATGCAGTTTTTCTGATGCCCAGGCATTCCTTCAGAATGTGATGCACAGTCGTATGTGCTAATTCTGTCTCTCAGGCCAGCTGACAAATCATATGGCATCAATCACTCTCCAGTAATGCGGAAAGAGCATGCACTTCTTCTTCACTGACACTGGGACGACCTGGCCATGCATGTCTGCCACATTTTGGCATCCGTGATTGAAGGCTTTTACCCACCTTGCCACTCTTCTGTAAGGCAATTCAGATTCCCCGGAAGCCTCTTGAAGACCTTGATGACACTGTTGTGCTGTGGTGCTGTATGGCCTCTGGCACATTCAATCTTTATCCAACTCCGTTGTTCCTGTTTTGAAAACATAATGACAACACTACATTAGACCACCAGCTAACACGAGGCTCTGTTGTTCTCGTCACTGCGCATGAGCACGATGTGGGAAGGGAGAGTCCATTTGCTCTGAGGTAAGGTAGGTATGTAACTAATGTGTGGTATAAGCGACATTATTTGGTTCTGTTGCATGTCATCTCTACAGCAGTGTTGCCACTATTAAAGTTCCAACCCTCGTATCTCTCTAGATATCTTAGGTGATCTCTTCCATTCAGGAGATATTGAACCTTGAAGGTTTAATTTATTTCTGGCAGTTTGTAAGCTATTCAGTCATGTGTCAGCATTTGCTATAAATTTTGTAAATTTTTGTACTTTGGGCTCTGACTTGTAAATTTAATAAATTGTAGGTAATACAGTTTTTTTCTTGTATGTTGAACGTGAATAATATTTTTGCATCAAATATTTCATACTGTTTTTATCTAATAAAATAAAAAGTAAAGCTGTCCCTGTAACAGGCCATGAAGGCCCATAGTGGTGTGATAGGTCAAGGGTCTCACATCTCCTTGAGAGTTGGCTCACAGGTGGTAGTAATTTTGTCAGCCTTATGTGCGCACTGCCCTTTCCCCCCCATCAAGTTTCCTGGTGCTCATTTCTGTTAGGCGGCCCATACATGTACGAGTCCAGCTCGGCGAGGAGCTGGTCTTGGATTAATTTCACCCCACACATATGAGCGTGGTGGCCCACACATGGACGAGTTTGGCTCATTGGAACCTGAGCTGAGTTGGACTCACAAGTCAGACTTGCACATGTATGGGCCCCTTAGAGGCTGAGTCAACCCCAAGGCCATAGTGCAGCTGGAAGGATTAGGTAAATTGAAAACAATCCAGTGACCTCATCAGGACTTAAACCTATGACCTTCCAGCTTGTAGCATAATTCCTCAACCAACTAGAATACTGCATGCCCCGAATTGTGTCTAATAGAGAATGTTAAGTAAGTGTAAATATTCCAGCTTTGTCATACTTTGCTGGATTTGTGACAACTAGGGGATCCTTGACCACTGAAGTCCTTCATGATCAGGAGAAGCTGAATTTGAGATCAAAGGTGCTGAAGTACCCTGACAGGATGTAGTTGCAAAATTTACTTTGGTCATAAAGGTAAAGATATCCCTGTAAGATGTCTTGAAGGCCCACAGGGTTGTGAGACATCAAGGTTCTCACATTTCCTAGACATTCAACACACAGATGGTAGTAAGATTGGCAGCCTTGTGCTCTAGCTGCCCTTAAGCCCCCCAGGAAGTTTCCTAGTACTCATTTCTTTTAGAGGCTGAGTCGACCTCAGGGTCATAGTGCAGCTCGAAGGATTAGAGAAATTGAAAACATTCAATAACCTCATCAGGAATCAAACCTGTTACCTTCTGGCTTGTAGCATAGTGCCTCAACCAACTATGCTACCGCGTATCCCCTTTATTTAGTTATGCAGGAGCCACATTACAAACCTCCAGTATTTGATTGTAACTGAACTCCATTAACTCAGGGTATAAGATAGTGTTATTGTACTCTTGAGGACCTCAGCATCATATGTCACACACAAAAATAATAAATAATTATATTCACAGAGTAACTGACAATTGTCATTCCTGCCATGCAGTTGTATAGTAACCCTGAGAATAATAAGAGAAATGTGAGAGTGAAGAGAAATTGAGAGCATAGTAAATGTATTGAATCCTTGCCACAATTTAGTTCAGAATCTTTTATTTTGCTGTCTTCTGTCTAAAAGCAAATGTATTCAAATATATGAAACTTTTTCTTTTTCCTCTTTTCTTACCATTCTGAGGGAAGGACATACATTGATGGTATTTGAGAACAGGATGCTAATGAAAGGTTCAGATTTAAGAAGAAGGCAGTAACAGGAGACTGGAGGTGATTGTATAATGAGGCTGTTCATAATTTTCTCTCTAAAATATTGTTAGGATATCAAATCAAGGAGGATAGAATGGGTGGGGCATGTAACATACATGGAAATTAAGAGAAGTGCATACATTTGGTAGGAAAACCTGAAAGAGACAGAAGTAAAGTATCCCTGTAACAGGCCATGGAGGCCCATTGGGTTATGAGATGTTGAGGCTCCCACATTTTCTAGACAGTTGACTTACAGATGGCGGTGAAGTTCTCAGCCTTACAAGCTGGCCACCCTCTCCACCCAGGAATATTCCTGGTACTCATTTCTGTTAAAGGCTGAGTTGAGACAGATCACTTGGAAAATTAGGCATATATGGGGGGATGTTGATCAGATTTATCTGGCTCAGGGTAGCTAGGGGCCAGTGGTGGTGTGTTGTGAATATGGTGTGAAACTTTTGGTTCTGTAATATGTTGGGAATTTCATGATTAGCTGAGCAACTATTAGTTTCTGAAGGAGTCTCTTCTGTTTAGTTAGTTATGTGACTGTAAATGATCAGTATAATTATAGAATATTTTGTTGTTGTTTCAGTCTATCTGCAAACAAGCACCATTTAGTGATGAGCCAGAAGCCATGTTGGAGCGGGAGCGTTGTGATTACACCACTCGCATCACATATAAAGTGGCAAAATCAGGAAGAGGTTCTCTGCATATCAGTCATTCAATCATGAATGTATTATTCTTATGTTAAATGGTCGGGCTTGTAATCTTATGGTTCTGACTTACTGTTTCAGTCCTAAGACCGATTCGGGTATATGCAGATGGAATTTACGATCTCTTCCACCAAGGACATGCCCGACAGTTGATGCAAGCCAAGAATTTATTTCCTAATGTCTACCTCATTGTTGGAGGTAATGAATCTCTCCCTTCTGGCATGTCTTCCTAAGCATGTGTGATTTCATGTAAGGTTACAACTGATTTAAGTCACTGTTCTTACCAGTTCCTTGCTATACCAGATTGTATCAATGTCGTGACATCCTTTTTTTGGTTAAATTTAATGAGAAAATATGTTATGGCGGCTTAAAGACTGGAATAGTTAGCCAGAATGAATGTGTAAGGGGTGGGCCTTCTTGGCCCTTGCACCGTGACCTACAGTGATCTATTGTGCTTCCCCTCTTGATTATCCCCTAAGCAATCCTGCACTTCGAATGAAGCATAGGATTTTGTACGTGGGGGTGTCGAAATAGTCACTTTGTTCCATAAAGTATTGACCCAAGTGATGTAATCTTAAATAAGCTAAGGCCTCACATTCACACAGGATATGTGTGGCTGTTTCATTTTCTTCTTGACACCTCTCACAAGTTGGACTATCATTTAGTCCCAGTTTTAAGAGGTGTCCTTTAAGGTGACAGTGTCCTGTAAGTAGTCCCACCACCCACGTAGCTAGTTCCTGTTTAACTTCAACAGTTCCTTCACTTTTTTAGCAGAAGGTATGAGTCCCTTTGCTTGCCTGAGTCCAGTGAAGGATCCCCAGTATTTCTTGTGCTAGTTAGCCAGAAGATATGGTTATTGCTAGGGAATAGACGATAAACATGTTTCTGTGGCTGTGAACACGTGTCGCCACAATAGAGAACTGTTGGAAACGGTATTTTCTGTTGGGTCTGCCCTGAAGCTATATAAGGAGAACTAATTGGAGTTTGTAGTCAGTTGTGAATCTGAGGACATTTGGAGCCATGAGGAGTTGTGAAGGAGTCATCAGACAGCAAGGATTGGAGCCATTGAAGAATGAAAGCGAAAGACATTGTTGGGATCCATTACCAGGAAACAACTGATGAAAAGATTTAGCAAATGCTGTAGTGAGAAGTCTAGTGCTTGAATTAGTGAGACTGCTGTAATTACTTGTAGTTACGATTTATCAGTGTTTGATGAATCCAGTTACCAATCCAAACCCTATGTCTAGTTACTGAACATGTGACAGTATATATTTTCATAATTCTCCCCTTCAGAGCAAAACAGGAGAACATTGTGGTCAACATACAGGAAGTCCTATGTGAAGTTGCATTTGAACATGGTCAGTTCTCACTTTATGCCATCTTACCATAAAATTACTGTTGATTTTGTATCAGTTCTTTGCCACACAGTAGGATCAGTAATTCCTTGTTACAAGGACTATAAACTTGTCCCATAGCTTTGTTTCATGTCCAGTGGGAATGCGATATGCCAAGACAGCTGACACCCCCTTTCCTTGAAAATAATAATTATTGTTTTGAGGGGTACCTCCGTCTCCTATCGTGATGATGTAGATTTAAATTAAATGGGTGGGTAGTACCATCTGTTATCTGCTGAGTTTCCACTTTCTGAATTATGCCAGTAGAAGTGCCATGCTTTGGATGAAGTGTCATATGTTACTTGAAGGAGCATTTAGGTAGCCACTTGGCTTTATGAAGTGAAGCCGAAACTGACTAAATCTTAAATTAGTTAGAACATGACAGACACTTAGGATGTGTGAGCCTGTCTCATCTCTATTATGGCACCTTTCATAAGCAGCGATTTTTACCGGTCCTAGTTCGAAGAGGTGATCTTTAATATGTTCTGTGAATAGTCTCATCAGTCAGCTCACCTCATACATAGTCCTGGTAGTTCCCTTGTCTTTTTTTGCTGAGGGTCCTTGAAGGAACCCATTACTTTTGTATATGCAGGTATGGACTCAGGTATTTTTGATGGCCTCTGTTTATCCAGCCCATGATAATCCTCTTGCCAACTCCTGGTGAGATGCTGATTCAGGTCCTGCACATGGATGTTCAGATCCTGTTCTTGCCACCTGGTTAGCATCTTCATTTCCTTTAATTCCTCTGTGACCTGCTACCTGTTTAAGTTGAACCCTGTTACGTTCGGCCACTTTCGTAAGGGACTGCCAAACAAATTTGTAATTGATCTGGTACTTGTCACATGCTTTGATTGCTGCCTGCCTGTCTGCTTCAATATAGATGTTTTTATTTTTGTAGATCCTTTGTATATTCTCCCCACTTTTGATGGCATATGCTTCTGCCTAGAATGCTGTCATGATGTTAGACAAGATATATTTTAATGTTATTTCTGTTGTTCAGTGTGCAGTGATGCTCTGACACACAGCAAAAAAGGGAGAACAGTTATGACTGACTTAGAGCGATATGAAGCAGTGAGGCATTGTCGGTATGTTGATGAGGTTGTTCGAGAAGCACCATGGGAACTGGATGAAGATTTTATAACACGGCATAAGGTGAAGCTTTAATTCTTGGTACTCGTGTATTTTACGTGATTTACTTCAAGTAAGTGTGTTGCTTTATATATCATTTGGAACCAGCCAGAATTTTCTTTGATGTAATCTTAGCAACATTTTTTTTTGTTCCACAATTTAGTGTTATTTGTTTTATTTAAACATCATTTACTCTTAAGACTTTCTGCTTTGGTGATGGGCCCCCAGACATGACTTGTGCAGTGAGTTTGCTGCATAATTGTTGATTGTGGAATGGCAGATGAAAATTTCAAGTTCTGTATGGATATAATAAACTGTGTCAGTTATAGATAAGTTAGGTAGGGTGAGACAAATATACTCAGCATAGATATCTTCAGACACAAAGTGGAAGGATAATATTTGATGTAAAATATTTTAATCTTATGAATGTACATACCGTAATCCAGGAATTGAACAAAATATCATGGTCTTGAAAGTAATTTCGAAAATCCCATTTCCTGATAGGAATTTCAAAATTTGAATAAAGCCACTCGCCACTAGAAAAAATTGAGACACCAGACAGAGTAGGTCCTTCTTTTCTAACTCTGAAGTGAGTCCACTTAGTTAGATGTTGACTCATCTACGTGCAGCTGCCTTCTCTTTCATAGAGTGAACAGCACACTCTGCACCATTCTAGTTAGAACCCCTTCTCACATCACCATTGAGATGTACCATTAGCAATTTAGTGGTTCCCTGAAGGGCTAAATATTCGATGGTATCCAAGACGTTCAGTGTGTCTCTTATTTTTCATTTTTAGTTTATTTGATGACCATCAGGAAGTCAACTGTATAATACTGATTGACTGGGGGAAAACCATGAAAAGTATTTGTCAGTATAGTCAGTGTTGTGAATAAGATTCAAACTTATCTCTTTCCAAATACAAGGCAGAAATGGTTCCTGCTTGACCCAACTTGCTTGATTTGGAGCATGCTATGACCAGACATTAACAGTAGAACATAGCAAGACAAAATTGCACATCTGGAGAAGTATATGTAGTCTTTCAGAAAAATAGCTGTCATAATGAAATGCCTCTATAAGAAGCAGTGAAGTGAAAAATCAGGGAATTCTGGGTCTTTTCATATACTCCATCAGGAGTGGAATCTCATTTAAAGCTCTAAAGAAACTATAAATGAATTTCATGTGAAACTTCGGGTTCTCACTGCAGTGATTGTGAAGTGACACCATGTGGTCTGATAGATGTTTACAGCCATTTTAGGGGAGTGTACTGCCTCCATCTTCAGGCTTGAAGGGTAAGCCAAGTTGGAAAACATGTGTGCATGGAGGCAGACCAGAAGCCCTGAGTGGACCAGTAGGAAGAAGGAGAAGAGTGAGTAAGAGCTGTTCTCCAGCCTGAGGGAGAGGTGAGAGAACTGGGGGCAAATGAGCAGTGGGAGGCACAGTTGGGCTAGGAGAGTAATGAGGGCAGCATGCATAGTACAAAGAGGGATGAAAACAAGTGGAGAAAGAAGTAGAACATTAGTAGAGGTTGGATGACCAATAAGGTACTGTCAGACTGGAAGAAGAGGTTGAAGGGAAGGAGCAGGAAGAGATGGAGAGGTCTGGTGTGGGTAGGAGGTCAGACAAGGCTTAAACTGGGACTAAATGCAGGGATATGGGGGTGAGAATGAAAAGGAAAAGAAGATTTGTGCCTTGAAAAGTGCAGTGTAAGTGGGCCTGATGTCCTGGTTGGGGAGCCTCGTCTTGATAAATTCTAATAAGGAGGCCATTTTTATTATACCAGTCTGTTTAGTAGGGTAGTAGGGCCCCTGTCCTCCTCCTATCTCCCTCCATACCCTTTTCAATCCCATTTATACATATTCCTCCTCCTCATCATTGTCTTCCACATTCTGCCTTCTGCCATCAACAGTGCTTTGCTAGTGTTCTTCCATTTTGCTTCTTTTCATCCCTTTCTATACTCTGAATGCTGCCCCTGTTATTCCTCAGGCCTGCCTACACTTTCCACTCATCACTCAGCTCCATTTCTTCCCTCTGTCTCTCAGGATGGAGAACACCCCCTTTTCTTCACTCTTCCCCATGGTCCTATTGGTTTTTTTTCCTGCTTGGCATACTGTGCTTGTTGCATGCAGCATACTTCTCAGCTTACTCTCTGGCTCTGAAGATGGAGGCAGTACATGCCTCAAAAACAAAGGTAAATTCCTATCAGACTGCACAGGAATTTCAAATTTTCTCTGAGAATTTAACTTAATACCTAATGAATACATTTGATTTGTTTCATTCTGGTCCATCACACTAACAATTACAAAGACAAAAATAACACTGTCTGATGTGACTATTTAAGTTTTATCATTTGAAGACTCATCACCCTTACATGTTTCGATCCCTAAGGATCATCCTCAGAGGGCATCAATACTTTTTCGGAAACTACTATTACAATAGATGTTAATTATATACATACACATATAATGTTTTAAATGCACAATGTACACAGTGTTCAACCTTTCACATTCACAGCAGCCTTCCTGGTGTTAAAACTTTTTAGTTCAGGCTTAAAATTTATAAACCATAAAGGTTCGTGTCATTTCTCCCATTGTTATTCTAGGAGGTGGCTGATCCTGTGCCACCTGTTTATCTTGCGAAAGGAGATTCTTAGTATTTCCGTGTTTATTCATGGCCTACTGTGTTGAATAAACATGGAAATACTAAGAATCTCCTTTCACAAGATAAACAGGTGGCACAGGATCAGCCACCTCCAAGAATAACAATGGGAGAAATGACACGAACCTTTATGGTTTATAAATTTTAAGCTTGAACTAGAAAGTTTTTAAAAAACTTTAAAAAGTTTTAACACCAGGAAGGCTGCTGTGAATGTGAAAGGTTGAACACTGTGTACATTGTGCATTTAAAACATTATATGTGTATGTATATAATTAACATCTATTGTAATAGTAGTTTCCGAAAAAGTATTGATGCCCTCTGAGGATGATCCTTAGGGATCGAAACATGTAAGGGTGATGAGTCTTCAAATGATAAAACTTAAATAGTCACATCAGACAGTGTTATTTTTGTCTTTGTACGTAATGAATAACTCAAAAGGCTGGTAAAAATTTTGTAATGTTGCTACATTCGTTTGCTTGTTTTAATCACTAACAAATTTTAATATTAAATGAGAAAAGCTTTGGGTATCATAAATTTGGATTCTGGGAAATTAAGTTCATATTTGTACTCAGATTATGGGGAGCATGTGGTAGCATAGTTTGTTGAGGCACTATGCTTCAGGCTGGAAGGTCACAGGTTCGATTCCAGATGAGGTCATTTGATTTTTCAATTGACTAATCCTTCCAGCTGCACTATGGTCCTGGGGTTGACCCAGCCTCCAACAGAAATCAGTACCAGGAATCTTCCTGTGGGGGAAAGGATGGCTGGTGCATAAGGCTGGCAACCTCACCACCATCTTTGTGCCGATTATCTAGAAAATATGGGAGTGCTGAGGTCTCACAACCGTATGGGCCTTCATGGCCTGTTACAGGGATAGCTTAACCCTGATTATGAAACTGCTGCTGTGGTTCATCATAGTATGTTAGAATAATACAGATAATAACAGTAAAATTATATCATTTTTGTTTTATTTGTCTAAAGTGTGGTGAGAAGCTGTATAGCAAGCTGTGAAATGGTGTTTGATAATTGTTATTATCCTTTGCAGACGTATTGAAATTGTTTGGAGTGGGTGTGGTGTAAAATTTTTATTCATCAGTTGTGTTGTTCCAGATTGACTTTGTGGCCCATGATGAGATCCCGTACATCACAGATGATGGAACAGATTTGTATGCCTGGTTGAAAGCAAGAGGCATGTTTGTAGCTACAGAGCGTACAGAAGGTGTATCAACATCAGACATTGTGGCACGAATTGTGCGAGACTATGACATATATGTGCGTCGTAATCTTGCTAGAGGTTACAGTGCAAAAGACTTGAATGTCTCATTCCTTAATGTAAGTGCTAAACCTGCAGGCCATATGATTTATGTGCAGGCTGCATAGTAATTTGAAGTGTTATTGGGATTGTATCCAGTACAAACTATTGAATTTTATATTCAAGACTCAAAATACATTAATTATTGCCATATATAAATTGTGTCTGCACTAGCAGTTTTATGTCGACATTCTTTATGTAGGTTGTTCAGTATTTTTTATGTTCTTTTACAAAATTCCATTGTATGGATATTTCTGTCAACATATTGATTAACAACAACTGCCTCTGTGGTCTTGTGGTCAGAGTTTCTGGCTACAGATCCAGAGGTCTGGGTTCGATTATTAGAGCTACCAGATTTTCTGAGAAGAAATGGGTCTGGAATGGGGTCCACTCAGCCTCGTGATGATAATTAAGGAGCTCTTTCAAGGAAGTAGCAGCTCTGGTCTAGAAGATTGAAATTAACAGCCTTGGGGAACTGTTGCACCGACCACGTGACGCCTTCTATCCACTAAAGTTGGCACTAACTTCGCCAACAAGTGGCGGTCACTTGGTTGCTATATTTTGCTTGTGGACTATAGGCCACGGAGTGTTTTTTTTTTTTTTTTGTATTTGAAATTTACTTACTTAATTTCTATATATTATACGTATATTTAATGTGCAACAATTTTCTTATTAGGAGAAGAAATTTCGTCTACAAAACAAAATGGACGAACTAAAGGACAAAGGAAAACGTGTGATGGAGAATATTGGGGAAAAGCGAGTGGACATGATACAGAAGTGGGAAGAGAAATCTCGTGACTTCATTGATGCCTTCTTGCTCTTGTTTGGAAGGGAAGGTCGCTTGGTAAGTCATTAAAGTAAATCTCTGGGCACAGTAAATTCTCAAAGTAGTGAAGTGAAAACTGCTGCAATCTAAGAAGTTCACAAGATAGGCAATAATTCTGATAGGGAAGACACCTGGAATGTTAAAATGTAACTAACAAAATGCTTTTAATTTAAGAGAGATCAGATAAGTGATAAAGAGGTCACTTGGTATCATTTTGATAAGTGAAATCATGGATGTTATGGTTGACCAGGCATGTCACTTGGATTGTGAGACAAAGAATGCATACAGAATTTTGATAGGGCAACCACTTGTAAGATCAAAATTAATTTTTAATTAGTGCTCCGGTTTTTAGAAAAATAGAGTAAGTGATTCCTTAATTTTGTATTCTTTTTGAAAGTGAAATCAAGCAACTTATGATGGACTGGGATGCTGGTTGGAAGAAGACAAAAAATACACACAAAATTTTAATAAGGGAACCACTTTGAATATCCAAAACGGAGGTGGAAGAATAATATTAAAATTGGTTTTTGGGAAATTTGGTTGTGGGAAGTGAATGGAATTGTTTTGAATCACAGACTTTGGTATTAGCTGTGTTGAACTTATATTTTGTAATCTTAAAATTATAACATTTAATTTAGAGGATTTATTGGTTTTGTCATACATACAGTCCCACATATGGAATGAGGGGAAGGGACGGCTGATGCAGGCATTGTCTCCACCAGCAAGTCCTCGACGAGATGGAAGCCCTACCTCATCCAACAGTAATGACAATGACGATTCAGTCAGGTAAGTGATATTATCATGGAACCAATCTTTTGTATAAATTTTATTAGTATCCAGACCAGATATGGGGCCCACCCACCCTCTTATCCCCAAGGACAAAGTGACCAAAAGATGAAGCAAGTTCTGTTTACTGACAAGGTGAGTATTGTATAGAACAGTGCCTCCACCACTCAATATGTCTTTGTTATGTGCTGTTTAATTAAGCTCAGGGATACCGTTATTTTTACCATTGCTCTGGAAGATATAACATTACACATGAAATGAATGCAACACAGTGGACACAGAACTGATTCAAGAGACAATACTATACAGTCAGTCACTTAAGCTAATATATGGAGAGTAGATGCCATTAGCAATTGTGGGTTGCCTCCTTGATGTTTAAGGGTAAAAGTAGAGTTATTCCAGGTTTAATTAATGAAACATGTTGCTGTGAAGATATATGGGGGAGTGGAGGTGTAGCTCCACCATTCTTAGGCTTGGCATTAGATGGAGGTGAGTAGTCATCATCATGCCCCTGCTGTCCTTTGCGTAGGAGACTGGGTGAGCCTTGAAGCCAGTCTGGACAACGTGGAGAAGGGTAATATCTCTAACCTCTGCAAAGAATCAAACCCCAACTCATCAGTCATCCAGCCTGTAGCCTAGTCACTATGCTGACTTAGCTGTCATGGCTCATTGTCCTTGATATGCATGAAAGTAACTTAAAATGTCTAATGATTATGTTTGTGAAAGTTCAGTAATTTGATTTATTATAAATCTGTGTTAGTTTTTGTATCAAGTCCTTTTAAGCATAGCATACTTGCTTTTTCAGTCCTCCTCCACCAAAAGCTGGTAGATATGATTTTTCACCAAGTTCATCAACCAATGCAAAGTTCAGCAACAGTTGCAGCACACAAGACTTCTCAGATGATGATGACGATGATGAGCACCAATCAAAATGATCATATATGGATACTAGTGAATGAAGAGTATGTCTGCGTTTGGTAATCTGAATCGGTAATATCTGCCTGATAAACAGTGATGTAAAACCCAAAGACTTTATTTTGTATGTTACAGAAATTTACTTTATTCAGAAGAGCTCTGTTGCCTGGGATATCATGCTATGTGTTCTATTGAGTGAGCTGATATTTTGGAGGAAGATGTCACTTCCATCTTCAGGTTGAAGAAGAAGCCGAGCAAGAAATCAGTGTTATAGAAGGTGGCAAGCAACTCTGCTTATTCTTTGATCCTGAAGATAGAAGCGACATGTTCCTCTGAAATGTTGGTTGACTTTCAGTGGACTACGCAGCATTTTATCCCAGAAGATAGAAATCTTCATTACTGCCGTTGCTGTGAGAACCTCCAATCCTACTTACTTGATTCAGTTTAGTCTTTCAATGGCCATAAACCAAGGAGAGAAGTAAAATATCGCCCGTCACAATAATGCATTTAAGATTATGATTTTTCACTTTCTAGGAAATGGGTGATTTCCCTATAGCACTCTACTCTCATTTTAATCAGTAGCTTTCTGTAGAACATAACAAGACATGTTGCATAACAGTAAGTAATTTTACAACATTGGTACTCTGAAAAGCTACTCGTACATATAAAGGAGAAACATAAGAAATTTTTTGTATGCATCTATCTTGCAACCCATTCATGGTTGATTCGAATGTGGTATGAAATGTATATATTGAGTATGAGGATTGTTATTTTCATTTTTAATTTATGAAATGTAATTTATTATGTTATTATTTGTTGGAAAAACAGAATGAAAATGGAAAAAGGAGAGAACTGTGCATTTATATTGGGAGCAGCTGATCTGTTGATTCCACTTGGAGGACCAGTGAAGTCTAGTACCTTTAGCGAAGCCCCGGGTCTTCTATCATGAAACCTAATTTCTGTTTCCTCTGCCTCTGATGATGATGATGATGATTACAGCATATTTGCCCAAGGTTCAATGAACTCATTGATATCTTCTAACTCTTCATCAGATTCCTCTTCCATCAATATTTCCTCCAGTTCTTCTGCATCAAGAAGTTTGGAATATTGGGCACGTTTTTGGGGTTCCATCTTGGGGGAGGGGGTTTCCAGCAAAATCGAATAAATTATGTTGATTGACAAAGACTCGAAAAATAGTGATGCAAAGTAACTGTAATAGTATGGTACAATAGGCCAGAAGTGGCAGCAGTACAAGGGACTTAGTCCCACCCCACTAGAAAAAAAAATAATAATTATAATAGTAGTCTAAAAGGTGCCAGTCCGACACTATTACAGAAAGTCACAGTGACGAAGATGCCTTTTACTCACAAAGTAATACTGGCTCAGTGGGTTTATACCTCTTCTGAGACACAAAACAATATAAAAAGAAATATATGACACTCCGACACTAACTTTTTAAGAGAAAAAGAAATATTACACAATCCAACACTGACTTCCTAACTGATAATTCGCCACTGAAAACCAATCCTTGAATACATCACACTTCCTTGAAAACTCTAGAAGCACTGATCTGCAAGCACCGACAAATATTTCCTCTTCAGTTCTCAGAACAAAGCTGGGCTATATTTGGTTGAGCAGGTCATAAACAGTCATATATAAACAAATTGTTTCAAAACCGGGACCGAGATAAACGATTTCTTTGTTCAGAGCTAAGGAATGAACCACTGACATGACCTCACATAGGTTTCTTTTGGTTTCAAACCCAAGGTCAAACTGTCAGCACTCCCAAAGGGTGCATGTGCCCTGCGTCACATATATGTGCCATTCGGCCAACTCCGGCTGCTGCTTCCTTATTATTGTATCATATGCTTGTTTAAAATCTATGAAGCATAAGTAAATATCTGTATTAAATTCCCAACATTCTCCGTTATTTATCTCAGGGTGAATAAATTGTCTATTGTTGACCTATTGGGTCGAAATCCTGATTCATCTTCTCCTATTATTTTTTCTATATATGGATCCAGTCTCTTTTTTAGTATCCTTGTTAATATGTTATATGCTATCGGTATTAATGATATACCTCTATAGATACTACATGTTAATTTATCCCCTTTTTTAAATATGGGACATATAATGCTCTTTCTCCAATCTTCTGGTATCTTCTTCTTCCCACACTTTCTTCATAATTCTGTGGAGTGCTATTATTTCTTCTTGTCCTCCTGCCTTCAATAATTCTGCTGGTATGTTGTCTCCTCTTGGTGCTTTATTTAGTTTTGTTCCTTTACTGCTTCTTCCGCCGGTCACGGTAGCCAAGCGGTCTAAGGCATGAACTGTCTTCGCTCGCTCGGAAGCCGGGATTGTGGGTTCGAATCTCACTCGGCAAGGATGTTTGTGTGCATTTTTCTGTTTGTGTACAGGTAGAGGCCTTGCGACGAGCTGATCACTCACCCAAGGAGTCCTACCATTATGTGTAAGATCTAGAAAAACCGAAGTGAACGGAGTTCATGGAGGTAGGCCTAGGCCCACTGGGGCTGCAGTGCCAAGGGAAAAATAAATGCTTCCACTTCTTCCGTTGTTGGAGGCTCTATTATCTCTTCCTCTTCCCTTCTCCATCATCTGTATTTTGTTCTTCATTGTCCTCGTTATCTTCCATATTCTGATTTTGATTTAATAATTGTTCAAAATATTCTTTCCATGTATTTATAATCTCTGTTTTATTATTTATTGATATTTTTGTCTTGGATAAATTCTGTTTTTGGTTTGAAACCTTCTTTCATATATTTGATTCAACCAAAGGCATTTTTTTGTTATTTTTGAAGTCTTCCATTTGCAGTAATTGCTCATTTAGAAAGGCCCGTTTCTTTTTCCTGCAAATCTTAGTTTAGTATATACATCCTTCAAATAGATTTCCTCNGGCAAGGATGTTTGTGTGCATTTTTCTGTTTGTGTACAGGTAGAGGCCTTGCGACGAGCTGATCACTCACCCAAGGAGTCCTACCATTATGTGTAAGATCTAGAAAAACCGAAGTGAACGGAGTTCATGGAGGTAGGCCTAGGCCCACTGGGGCTGCAGTGCCAAGGGAAAAATAAATGCTTCCACTTCTTCCGTTGTTGGAGGCTCTATTATCTCTTCCTCTTCCCTTCTCCATCATCTGTATTTTGTTCTTCATTGTCCTCGTTATCTTCCATATTCTGATTTTGATTTAATAATTGTTCAAAATATTCTTTCCATGTATTTATAATCTCTGTTTTATTATTTATTGATATTTTTGTCTTGGATAAATTCTGTTTTTGGTTTGAAACCTTCTTTCATATATTTGATTCAACCAAAGGCATTTTTTTGTTATTTTTGAAGTCTTCCATTTGCAGTAATTGCTCATTTAGAAAGGCCCGTTTCTTTTTCCTGCAAATCTTAGTTTAGTATATACATCCTTCAAATAGATTTCCTCTGCCAGAAGTTTTGCGTCATGCATATGGGACATTTTTAGCAGTTTGCAAATGCCAAATTTTTTTCTTGTAACCATCTGCACTCAAACTAATTTGAAATTATTTTTTTGCCTTCATAATGTCTATTTTCAGGTTATCTAATACAGTTTGTCAACCTAGACCGATTAAAATGCAAGATATCTCCAGATAACAATGATTACAATAGCTTTCTCTGCGTTTGAACTTTCCCCATCTGTCATCTAGCTCACCCGTCATGTCACCCACTACATTCTATGCCCAGCAGCGGTGCAACTGATTACATGAAGCTTGCATGAAANTTCTCCATCATCTGTATTTTGTTCTTCATTGTCCTCGTTATCTTCCATATTCTGATTTTGATTTAATAATTGTTCAAAATATTCTTTCCATGTATTTATAATCTCTGTTTTATTATTTATTGATATTTTTGTCTTGGATAAATTCTGTTTTTGGTTTGAAACATTCTTTCATATATTTGATTCAACCAAAGGCATTTTTTTGTTATTTTTGAAGTCTTCCATTTGCAGTAATTGCTCATTTAGAAAGGCCCGTTTCTTTTTCCTGCAAATCTTAGTTTAGTATATACATCCTTCAAATAGATTTCCTCTGCCAGAAGTTTTGCGTCATGCATATGGGACATTTTTAGCAGTTTGCAAATGCCAAATTTTTTTCTTGTAACCATCTGCACTCAAACTAATTTGAAATTATTTTTTTGCCTTCATAATGTCTATTTTCAGGTTATCTAATACAGTTTGTCAACCTAGACCGATTAAAATGCAAGATATCTCCAGATAACAATGATTACAATAGCTTTCTCTGCGTTTGAACTTTCCCCATCTGTCATCTAGCTCACCCGTCATGTCACCCACTACATTCTATGCCCAGCAGCGGTGCAACTGATTACATGAAGCTTGCATGAAACCTATCAAGTGCTTCAGTTTCAACAAACAGAAAAGAAAACCACCGTACGCTAAACTCACTATAAGTGTGTGACCATGTGCAACTGCACTCGTGAAGTCTGTAAGAAAGCAGTTTGTCCCATCGCTTGATATTTGTCAGTCACTGATGTCAGTGATATCCAAGTCTGTCAGGTCGCAATGGTTGGAGAACTTTTCAAAATTCTGATAAGACAGTTGAAAATAATTGCGCGTCGCATACAGTCGTGTTGATACAACCGATTTTGCCACTGGGAGAACAGTAGGTTTTGAAACGTCCTATTCAGACCAATGCGACAGGACAGTTGTAAATAGCCACATGTCGCATATGACTAGTTCATTCAACTGAGTGTGCCACTGGGAGAACAGCAAGTTTCAGGCCAGGCGCACACCAAGGAAACTGGCAACTGAGATTTTTGAGAAATATTGCTGATTTCAAGCAGGCAAATGGTTTCCAAATTAGCAGGCGCACACTGAGGAAACTTGCGTTTCATTAGTTGCTCACATCATCTCAAGTGGGTGTGTTTGCCCGCCAATTTCATGCACTTCTCTTCTGCGATGTCAGATAATAATATTGTTCGTGTAATGATATGGTGGTGGTTGAGACGGTGTAAGAGGAGAAGACAGGAGAAAAGGAAACATTGGGTGCATCCGTTCTTTCATGACAGTTTAAACTCAGGTGTTTAAATTGTTTCAAAAGAACTTAATCAGGATACAGAACTGTTCAAAATCATTTTACACAATGACCATTGAAAGTTTTTTTTAATGGATCTTGTAGGACCTTAAATTTGAAGACGAGATACAAATTTTCGTACAGCTGTGTCAGCAGATCCACAGGCAAAATTATAGTTCTGCATATTCCAATTCTTATGTTTTTGGACAGAAGACAGGAAGACAAAAGTTTCTGGACTGAATGGTA